GGTTTTGTTGGTAATCCCCCCTTTTGGTGTGGGAGGCAGTTGAAAAAGTCTTTGGGGCCCCCGACACTTTTTTGTAGGTCTCTTAACTTTCTAATGAAATCCGGGTTTTCATTGGGGGGATGGTTGGGCATCGTCTGCCAAGTCTTTTTCTTTCGTTTGTGGGTGATTTTCGTGGCAAGTTCGGTAATAGTTTTCCCCCTAGGATTTTCCAGGTGTTTTAAAAACATGTATCTCTCCCTCCGCGGCCAAGGGAATACAGGTTTAGGAACCCCAAGCGTCCCAGGGAAATTTAGGTGTTTTATCTTCCCTTAAAGCACCCCCCGTGAAAATTCTTGTCATTTTTTAGGGGCGGCAAATTTTACCTTTCCTTGAAAGGTGCGTTAGTGGGCGCCCAAAATTCAGCCCAGATAGAAACAAGTGACCTGAAAAGTGTCATCATGGGCTTCGCCCCCCTAGTTTGAAGGTTCTCATTATCCATCCTGTCATTTTTCTAGCAGATGCGATTGATACATGTTATGGTCCTTGAAGGTGAGATCCTCCGAATAATCACTCCCAGGTCTTTGACGTTGGTGTTTCTCTCTATTTTGTGGCCAGAAAATTTTTTTTGTACTCTGATGAGATTTAATTTCCTCATGTTTACCATATCTGAGGGAATTGAAATTTCTCATCGTTGAACTTCATATTGTTTTCTGCAGCCCACTGAAAGATTTGGTTTGATGTCGCCCTGGAGCCTTGCAGTGTTGCAATGGAAGACACTGTCATGCAGATTCGGGTGTCATTGCAAAGGAAGACACGGTGCTGTGGCTGGACATCCTTGTCTATGTCGGATATGAGGATGAGGAACAAGATGGGAGCGAGTACTGTGCCTTGTGGAACAGGCTTTTCACCGTAGCTGCCTCAGACTTTACTCTGTTGGGCGATACTCTCTGTGTTTGGTAGTGAGGAAATTATAGATCCATTGACCGACTTTTCCTGTTATTCCTTTAGCACGCATTTTGTGCGCTATTACGCCATGGTCACACTTGTCGAAGGCTTTTGCAAAGTCTGTATATATTACATCTGCATTCCCTTTTTTTCTTCTAGTGCATTTAGGACCTTGTGAGAGTGAACCAATAGTTGAGACAGACAGGAGCGACCTGTTCTAAACCCATGTTGCCCTGGGTTGTGTAACTGATGGGTTTCTAGATGGGTGGTGTTCTTGCTTCTTTGGACCCTTTCAAAGATTTTTATGATATGGGATGTTAGTGCTATTGGTCTGTAGTTCTTTGCTGTTGCTTTACTGCCCCCTTTGTGGAGTGTGGCTATGTCTGTTGTTTTTAGTAACTGTGGGACGACCCCCGTGTCCATGCTCCCTCTCCATAGGATGGAAAAGGCTCGTGATAGGGGCTTCTTGCCCCTATCACGAGCCATATTGGGACTTGAGTAGCTCACTCATTTCCTTGCTGTCATCTGTGTAGGACCCATCTTGTTTAAGTAGGGGCCCAATACTGGACGTTGTTCAAGATTTTGATTTGGCATAGGAGAAGAAATACTTTGGGTTTCTTTCGATTTCATTTATGGCTTTTAGTTCTTCCCGCGATTCCTGACTCCTAAAGGATTCTTTTAGCTTAAGTTCGATGCTTGCTATTTCTCTGACCAGTGTCTCCCTACGCATTTCAGATATATTGAGCTCTTTTAGCCGCTCTGTTATTCTTTTCCGTCGCCTGTAAAGGGAGCGCCTGTCTCTTTCTATTTTACATCTACTCCTCCTTTTTCTTAGAGGAATAAGCCTTGTGCATACATCGAGTGCCACCGAGTTAATCTGTTCTAGGCATAAGTTGGGGTCTGTGTTGCTTAGTATATCTTCCCAGCTTATATCGGTTAGGACTTGGTTTACTTGGTCCCACTTTTAGTGGGAAAATTTATGGAATCAATAACTGCCGAAGCAATTCGTAGCCATCTTGACAGGCACAGATTGATTAATGAACCTCAACACGGTTATACAAAGGGGCTTCCTGTCTTACGAATTTACTAACTTTTTTTTACTAAGGTGTTTGGGGAGGTAGATCATGGTAATGAATATGATATTGTGTATATGGACTTCAGAAAGGAGGCTGTAGGGCAATTTTCCGCACGCTCTCAAAAAAATCGAAAAATTATGGAAATTGAGTTATTTATACAGAAAAATAGCTTAACTGGCAACACAATGGTACCAGAATGAATGTTCATTTATATCAGGTATGGTGATGGCGATATGGGTAGCACGTCTGCTCACAACCCATATATTTCTTTGAAAATTTTCCTTGTTTTTTTTATCGTTTTTCTTGCATTATTCTTTCTAATAACTGACTACTTTGCATCATATAAAAGTAGGCGGAGCTTATTCGTAGAGTGCCAGCCAATCAGGCACCATCTGGGAATGCTCGGCAGTACTCCCGCTCCAGAGAGAGTCAGGAGAAATTACTTCATTATTACGCTTATATCAGCTTATATATCAACTCTACGGCTTATTTATCTATCAGAATTGATCTAATATGATATAATAAACACTATAAATAACATACAAACATGTTATATACTCTAGACTGAATAAAATAAGCCATAATGTGCCGAGAGACCATCGGGAATATTTCAATATGAATATGTTACTCCTCTCATATGTCATCTTTGAGTAAGAGAAAACGGTGTTTTGAAGAGAATAACTACACTAGAGCATCATCAGTTTACTAAGAAATACACCCAAACAAACGCGATTTTCGCGATTTTTTTTTTTTTCGAGACGGTGGGCCGGCCGGCGTTCCAGGCCAATATCTCGAAAGTAACTTATTTACCTAATGTACCTATTTCTTCATTTATTACTTAATTAAATGGAATAATGTTCACAGAAATTATAGAATGATGATTTCTCTAATTTTATACGGCATATTTCTGGAAATATTCCAAATACTTTGGGAGTTATGGGGGAGTAAAGGGCAGATTTTTTTGCAACATCCCAAGAACTAATAAACTTTATTTTTTTGTGAAATAAAGATAAGTTATTTAGAGGAAAGCTCCTGAACAAAATTCGTATAAGCATTGCTCTCTCGGCACCAAGTGTCCAAACAACCTTACGTCATCCCATATAGGAATAAATCGCGCCCCAATGGCATTTTCAGAAAATCAGTCCTTTTTCAGTCTTCTCAGTTGTTGTTTGAGGTATATTTTTGATAAATATTTTCAGGAAAGAGAGAAAACACTTTGTCTTGTGTACCAAAACTGAAGGAAATCGGACAGTAAACAAAGGAGAAACAATTAATTGGATGACAGCCTCCGTAAGGCTTTCAATAGAGTTCCACACCAGAGGCTATTTAGGAAACTTAAGGCACACAGAACAGTAGGAGAAATTTTTTCCTGAGTAGAGGCATGGCTGACAAATAGACAGCAGAGTTTGCAAAAATGGGGAGAAATCAGAATGGGGACAAGTCACAAGCGGTGTTCTTCAGGGGTCAGTTGTTGTTCATAATTTACATAAATGACATAGATGAGGGAATAAATAGCAACATAAGCAAATTTGCTGATGACACCAAAATATGCCGTCCAATTCATTCTAATGAGGACATTAGAGCACTCCAGGATGATTTGAATAAACTGGTGCAATGGTCGGAGAAGTGGCAGATGCAGTTTAATATTGACAAATGCAAAGTTCTAAATGTTGGACAGTTAAATAACCATGCCACATATAAGCTAAATGTAGATCTTAATACTACTGATTGCGAAAAGGATTTAGGAGTTCCCGTTAGCAGTAATCTAAAACCAAGACAACAGTGCATTAGTGTTCGCAATAAAGCTAACAGAATTCTTGGCTTCATATCTAGAAGTATAAATAATAGAAGTCCTCAGGTTGTTCTTCAACTCTATATATCCTTGGTTAGGCCTCATTTAGACTATGCTGTGTAATAATGTTGGCAGAATTACCGACAATATGTAAAGTAAAAGGACACAAGTTCAACCAATGTGACATTTTATTGTGGCAACGTTTCGCTCTCTATGAGCTTTGTCATCGGTTTGACCAAGCTCCTAGAGAGTGAAACGTTGCCACAATAAAATGTCACATTAGTTGCACTTGTGTCCTTTTACTAGACTATGCTGGAAAACGAACAGAGGAGGATGACAAAGATGATCCCATGTATCAGAAATCTTCCCTATGAGGATAGGCTGAGGGCCCTGAATCTGCACTCTCTCGAAAGGCGTAGAATTAGGGAGGATATGATTGAGGTGTATAAATGGAAAACAGGAATAAATAAAGGGGATATAAATAGCGTGCCGAAAATTTCCAGCCAAGACAGGATTCGCAGCAATGGTTTCAAGTTGGAAAAATTCAGATTCAGGAAGGATATAGGAAAGCACTGGTTTGGTAATAGAGTTGTGGATGAGCGGAACAAACTCCCGAGTACAGTTATTAAAGGCTAAAACGTTGTGTAGTTTTAAAAATAGGTTAGATAAATACATGAGTGGGTGTGGGTGGGTGTGAGTTGGACCTGACTAGCTTGTGCTGCTGGGTCTGGTGTAGTGCTCCATCCTTGAGTGAAGGTGACCAGACTGGGTGGGTCACTGGGCTTATCCGGGGGGGGGGTGTCATTGGTCTAATCCGGGGGGGACATGGACCTGCTCTGCATGGGCCAGTAGGCCTGTTGCAGTGTTCCTTCTTTCTTATGTTCTTATGTTCTTATCTCTTGTGAGGAACTGTGTCAAATGCCTTCTTGCAGTCCATTTCTTGCGCAGGTGTGTGTGTGTGTGTGTGTGTGTGTGTGTGTGTGTGTGTGTGTGTGTGTGTGTGTGTGTGTGTGTTGTGTGTGCGTGTGCGTGTGCTTGCGCGCGAGCGCGTGTTTTCATTTGTTCTCAACGAGTTGTGGCCAGAAAGATGTTAATGTCATGAGTTCTGGCTTTCATTGAGACTTTTTGAAAATGCATAATAGAGCCTTAATTCATTTATGTATTAACGAAAGTCAAGAGTCGCAGTTCAACATATGACTGTTCCACAGCATGCCCAAACACCAGATCCTGCTTGTTGTACGAGGGAGGTCAGTGTAAATCAACCTGCGCAAGAAATGAGCGAGTGACTCCCGGCATTTGTAACTTGGGAACAAATTGTAAGTGTTGTGCCAAGCAATGCACGCCACTGAAGTCGTGCACTGACATCAATGGCTTTTGTGTTCAAGACCGGAAGGACTGTGTTAATGGCTTCATAAACGTGGGAGACTGTGAAGGTTATGGATGCATGTGCTGCAGCCATGAACGTAAGTTGATCAAATTAACAAATTATTCCTGTTACCTTAAAATATCTATCAATTCAAAACTAATATATAACAGATATCAAACACTACTCTAAATGACTACAACTACTTAAATATATTAATACAAAAGCTAGTTTCCTGATTTAGAAAACAGTTAAAAGAAATACATTATTTATGATATTAATATACAGTAGGCTTTTAAATTTTTATATAATTTTATTTAAATAGTTACAAAATATTTGCAATGACGTATGCTAGTAACTAGTTGTCAGAGGAACTTATCCATAGACAGGTCTTTGTGTGTGTATGTGTGTGTGTGTGTGTGTGTGTGTGTGTGTGTGTGTGTGTGTGTGTGTGTGAGTGAGTGAGGTGAGTGTGTGTGTGTGTGTGTGTGTGTGTGTGTGTGTGTGTGGTGTGTGTGTGTGTGTGTATGTGTGTGTGCTTTCGTTTGTTCTCTCCGAGTTGTGGCGAGAAAGATGTTTACCTCATGAGTTCTGGCGTTGAATGAGACTTTCAAAAATGAATAATAGAACCTTACATCATTTATGTATTAAGGAAAGTCAAGAGTCGCAGTTCAACATATGACTGTTCCACAGCATGCATGTGAAAATTTGTGTGGACTGCCTCCAAGTGAGTCGCCTACCCTGGCAAACTCTGTTGACACCGAGCTCTGAGGTGGGAACCTCAGCCTCACAAGTGGCTTATAGGACAGATTTTAAAAAATGATTGATGTTGCAAGAAACTCGCCTGCATGCACATATAAAGGACTAAGTTACTTGGTGTTGCAGCATATATCCTGATCTTCAACTTCCCTAAGCTTAGCCTTAGCCCCTTTGGACTTCCCCTCAGAAACCACGTGCAACCGGGAGCCTTAATTCCTGTAATATTCAATCGTAATTAGTGTCCTGCCTGCACCTCAGAAATTCCTATATCCAAGAGGGTATGTATCCCCTAGTATAACTATGCAGACATGGACACTAGCTTCCAGACTGCTCTGAGACACTGGTACTTACTGGGCATGCACTGCCTGTTGCACCAGGCCCACAGTTCAAACTCACTCACAATCTCCCCAGACACTGGCCAGAAATCTACGAGATAAAAGTGGAGGTCTTGTCTTACTGTATGGGCCTGATGGAAGAGGCTGCCAGTTCTCCCTAGCTAACTTTATCCTAGTGTTTGCATACATTATCGGCCTATTACTACCTATGTTAAGGTCTTAGGTCTACATTATTATTATCTACAGTTGTCTCAATGATCCAAATAATAGTGTACTACCAGTAAAACTACCTACTTCTTCCCTGAAGAGTAAATCTATAAATTAAATAAATGGCTACCAACAATCCATCGCCAACTAGAGAGAATGATGTTTGTTTGGGAGGGTTTTAAGGGCCATCCGGCTCAGCCGTTCCATCATGGCCATGCTGGATCTGTCCTGTGGAACTTTAGGGACCAAATAAATTTCCACAATGCCCAAATACCAGATCATGTTTGTTGTATGAGGGGGGCCATTGCAAATTAACCTGCGCAAGAAATGAGCGAGTGACTTCAGGCATTTGTAACTTGGGGAAAAAATTGCAAATGTTGTGCCAAGCAATGTACGTCACTGAAGGAGGCTGTATCAGCATTAAATGTTGCTTTTTTGTTTACCGTCCGATTTCCTCCAGTTTTGGTGCACAAGACAACATGTTTTCACTCTTTCTTGAAAATATTTATCAAAAATATACCTTAAACAACAACTGAGAAATGACTGAAAAAGGACTGATTTACTGAAAATGCCCTTTGGCAGGTTGCTTGTCCTATATGGGACGACGTAAGGTTGCTTGGACACTTGGTGTCGAGAGAACAATGCTTATACGAATTTGTAATTAGTACCTTTCCTCTAAATAACTTATCTTTATTCACAAAAATATAAAGTTTGTTAGTTCTTGGAATGTTTCAAAAAGTCTGCCCTTTACTCCCACATAACTCCCAAATTATTTGGAATATTTAAAAAAATGATTAATTGGAAATTACAGAAAACATTATTCTACAATTTCTGTGAATATTATTACATTTAATTAAGTAATAAAGGCAGACTATGTACCGTAAAGTGAATAAGTTACTTTCGAGATATTGGCCTGGAGCGCCGACCGGCCCACCGTCTCAAAAAAAAAAAAAAAAAAAAAAATAGCGAAAATCGCGTTTGTTTGGGTGTATTTCTTAGTAAACTGATGTTGTAGTGCAGTTAACCTCTTCAAAACACCGTTTTCTCTTACTCAGAGACCAAAGAATACGACATGGAGTCGATATGAGAGTATGAACTCATTTTTATCGAAATATTCCCAATGGTCTCTCGCCATATTATGGCTTATTTTATTCAGTTTAGAGTATATAACATGTTTATATGTTATTTATAGTGTTTATTATATCATATTAGACCAATTCTGATAGATAAATAACCCGTAGAGTTGATATATAAGAAGTAATAAAGAAGTGATTTCTCCTGGCACTCTCTGGAGTGGGAACACGGCCGAGCGTTCCCATATGGTTCCTGTTTGGCTCTAAGTCTACAGATAAGCTCCGCCTACTGTTTTACGATGCCAAATAGTCAGTTATTATAATAGAAAGAGTAATGCAAGAAAAAGAGATAAAAAACAAGGAAAAAATTCCAAAAAAATATATGGGCTGTGAGCAGACTCGCTACCTATATCGCCGTCACCATACCTGATATAAATGAACATTCATTCTGGTACCATTGTGTTGCCAAAGAGTTAAGCCATTTTTCTGTATAAATAACTCAATTTCCATAATTTTTCGACTTTTTTTGAGAGCGCGCAGATTATTTTATTATTAAAGATTAGCCGGTATTCTCCCGGCCCGGGCCTTTTCCAAGTGGTGGCCCGGCCTTGGCTCCCTCTTTAGGGAGTGTCTGAGACCTAAGTCTCCCATGGGAGGAGGCACAAGTACCTCCTCATCTTTGGGACCAACTGTCCCCAGGCCTAGCCACAAGCTAGGCCTCTCTGGTCTGCCATCCCCGCCCCAAGGGAGCAAATGGGAATGACAGTCTTATGAGCTAAAGGCTCGGACTCAGGCACCTACCCTACCCTGGAAGGGTTAGGCATGGTGTCGATGGAGAGCGCGCAGAAAATTGCTATACAGCCTCCTGAAGTCGTGCACTGCCGTCAAAGGCTTTTGTGTTCAAGACAAGAAGGACTGTGTTAATGGCTTCATAAACGTGGGAGACTGTCAAGGTTATGGATGCATGTGCTGCATCCGGAAAGTCAGTTGATCAAATTACCAGATAATTCTTATTATCCTGAAATATCTATCGGTACAAAATAAATATATATCAAACACTACCCTAATTGTATTATAACAATTTAAATATAATAATTCAAAACTAATTTCCTGATTTACAAAAGTTAAAAAAAATTTTTTTACATAATTTATGATATTAATATACAGTAGGCTTTTAACTTCTTTATAATTTTATTTAAATAGGTATAACATATTTGCAATGGTGTCTGACTTATCGAAAGACAGGTCTTTGTGTGCGTGTGTGTGTGTGCGTGCGTGTGTGTGTGTACTCACCTATTTGTACTCACCTATTTGTGGTTGCAGGGGTCGATTCACAGCTCCTGGCCCCGCCTCTTCGCTGATTGCTACTAGGTCCTCTCTCTCCCTGCCCCATGAGCTCTATCATACCTCGCCTTAAAACTATGTATGGTTCCTGCCTCCACCACATCACTTTCTAGGCTATTCCATGGCCTGACTACTCTATGACTGAAGAAATACTTCCTAACATCCCGTGGATTCATCTGAGTCTTCAACTTCCAATTGTGACCTCTTGTGTCTGTGTCCTATCTCTGGAAATCCCCCGCCCTTTGTCCACCTTGTCTATTCCATGCAGTATTTTATATGTCTTATCATGTCCCCCCTGACCCTCCTGTCCTCCAGTGTCGTCAGGCCGATTTCCCTAAAACCTTTCTTCGTAGGAAAAACCCCCGTAGCTCTGGGACTAGTCTTGTTGCAAACCTTTGCACTTTCTCTAATTTCTTGACGTGCTTGACTAGGTGTGGATTCCAAACTGTGCTGCATACTCCAGTATGGGCCTAAACGTAGAGGGTTTATACAGAGTCTAAACGAATCCTTACTGAGGTATCGGACGCTATCCGTAGGTTTGCCAGGCGCCCGTAGCTGCAGCAGTTATCTGATTGATGTGTGCCTCAGGAGTATGCTCGGTGTTTACTGACCCCTAGATCTTTTTCCTTGAGTGAGGTTTGCAGTCTTTGGCCATCTAAACTATATTGTGTCTGCGGTCTTCTTTGCCCTTCCCCAATCTTCATGACTTTGCATTTGGCAGGGTTAATTCAAGGAGCCAGTTGTGGACCAGGCTTGTAGCCTGTCCAGGTCTCTTTGTAGTCCTGCCTGATCCTCGTCCGATTTGATTCTTCTCATTAACTTCGCATCATCTGCAAACAAAGGGCACTTCTGTGTCTATCCCTTCCGTTATGTCGTTCACATATAATAAGAACAGAACAGGTCCTAGGATGACCCCTGTGGAACCCCCCTTGTCACAGGCGCCCACTCTGACACCTCGTCAGCGTACATGACTCGTTGTTGCCTCTCTGTCAGGTATTCTTGATCCATTGAGTGCCCTTCCTGTTATGTGTGCCTGATCCTCTGCTTTTGCGTAACCTTTGTAAGGAAACTGTGTCGAAGGGCCCTTCTTGCAGTCCAAAAATATGCAGTCGATCCACCCCCCTCTCTCTTGTCTTACTTCTGTCACCTTGTCATAAAACTCTAGTAGGTTTGTGACACAGGATTTTCCTTCCCTGAAACTGTGCTGGTTGTCAATTTATACACTTTTTTCTTTCCAGGTGCCCCACCACTCTCCTCCTGATGATCTTCTCCATGACCTTGCATACTATACACGTTAATGATACAGGTCTGTAGTTTAGTGCCTCATGTCTGTCTCCCTTTTTTAAAAAATTTGGGGCTACATTTGCCATTTTCCATACCTC